TTAGGGTTACTCACCTTCTTGTTCTTTCTTCGAGTGCTTGTTCATGTGGATTCCAATCAGGTGACTCACAAGCCCAAGTTCAAGAGGCGGGGTCGGACTCATTCACTGACTGGAGCACTGCTTCTCCAAAGGCCACATCGTCTCTGGCCTGCTGAGTAATCGCATAGTGCATGGTGAAAGTGTGGATAGAGGACCACATCGCTGCTCTGCAAAATTTTCTGAACCTGTGCCAGGAACACTGTTGACAAAGCCTGCGCCCTGGTGGGTTGCACAGCGATCGGGGGTGCGGGAACTCCCTCCAGGTTGTAGCATTCCTGGATGCAGGATGTGATCTATGACAAAATACATTGTGATGACACAGGCAGACCTTTCATTCTGTCTGCCATTGCCACGAATTCATTCTGGGCCAATTTTCTGAACGGCTTCGTTCTCTCAATATAAAAGGCTAGCGCACTGCGGACATCCAGAGGGGAGCGTCTGCTCCCTGCCACTGAAATGCGGCTTAGGTAGAATACTGGGAGAAAGATGTCCTGTTTGATGTGAAACTGCGACACCACCTTTGGAAGGAAAGGAGGATGGGGTCTGAGCTGCACCTTGTCCTTATAGAACACTGTATAAGAGGGCTCTGATGTTAGGGCCCTGAATTCAGATACCCTACTGGCCGAGGTTATCACCACCAGGAATGCCATATTCTAAGAGAGATAGAGGGAGCACATTGCCAAGGACTCGAAGGGTGGTTCCATTAGTCTAGAAAGGACCAGGTTGAGGTCCCAGGCTGGGAAAGGCTGTCGGACGTGAGGATATAGCCTATTGAGTGCTTTTAAAAACCGGCTGACCATAGGGTTAGCAAACACCGAGCGGCCCCCCTCAACCGGGTGAAAGGCCTAGATGGTGGCTAAATGCACCCTTATTGATGACAATAAAAGCCCCTGCTGCTTCAGACTGAGAAGGTAGTCCAGAATAAGCGGCACCGGGGCCAGCATCGGGGACGAATGGTGCTGCGCCGACCAGATTGAAAACGTCTTCCACTTGGCAACGTAGGTGGCTCTCGTGGAAGGTTTTTTGCTGCCAAGGAGGACGTGTCTAACCTGTTCTGAACAGGACAGCTCCATCAGGTTCACCCATGGAGCTTCCACGCCATGAGGTGAAGTAAATCGAAGTTCGGATGTTGAAGATGACCATGATCTTGCGTCAGAAGGTCCAGGAAGAGCGGCAGGGTGACTGGAGCTTCCACGGACATGTCTAGGAGAGATGTGTACCAGTGAGGTTAGGCCCATGCTGGAGCTATCAATATAACCTGAGCTCGTTCCCTCTGGATCTTGAGGAGCACCTTGTGAACAAGTGGTATGGGCGGAAAGACATATAGGAGACAATCTCCCCAGTGGAGGAGGAACACGTCCGCTCTGGAGCCCAGGCTGTGGTTTTGGAGGAAGCAGAACTGTTGGCACTTCCTGTTGTGTCGCATGGCGAATAGGTCTATCTGGGGAAAGCCCCACCTGTGGAAGATTGAAATCGCAACATCCAGATGAACGGACCACTCGTGGCTGTGAAATGACCTACTGAGGTGACCTGCCAGTTCGTTCTGTTCCCCGGGGAGGTGCGACGCTTGCAGGTGTATTTAGTGTTCTGCACAGAAGTCCCACAGCATGAGGGCTTCCTGGCACAGCGGAGAGGAGTGTGCGCCCCAGCTTGTTGATGTAGAACATTGAAGTGGTGTTGTCCGTCATGACTGATACACATTGTCCCACTAAGTATGCCCAGAAGGCCTGGCACACCAGGT